AAAGTACTTTAAACTATATAAATAATGTAAAATTAAATTGATTTAAACAGCCAATCATATAAAAGTCTTTCTATGAGGTATAAAGAGCACAATAAGCGATTAAATAGCTAATCAATTAACTATTACTATGATTTATAGTTACATGAATAAATGGTTAGCAAAATTTTTTATAATTTCAATCTCGAATCAGAAGTTGGCTTGACTCAAAAGTTGTTGTTAATAATGGATTAATAGGATAAATATATCATAAATCAACTACTTAACCTGTTTATCAGAAATATATTAGAGTATATTAATAACAGATAATTATTTTTATCTGACACGTCCTATGTGATTACTGAATGATTTCTGTGTAACTTATTCAGTCACTTCCTAATACAATATACAAATTCACTTGTCTTTTACGAGGTGAGTGAATATTTTCATATTTGTATTAGGAAGTAACTGAATAAGTTATATAGAAATCACTCAGTGCTTACATCAGACATGTTGGATAATGAAGTTATCAGTCGAGTTTTTAATAGATGAATAATCAGTTATCATCTATGACATGACTAATAACTATTATTATATGATATAATATTTGATATATTTGGATCACTAATTTAATAAACTTCTATATATTTAAAGTGGTCTGAGTATATTAGATTACAACTAATATTGTGAAAAATATAAAAAAATATGATTCAATAATATTCATCCACTTTCGTTTTATTATTTATAATCACCATTCTTTCTTTTTATAATCATCATATGGCTCTTTTTAATAAAAATGCAAGAATCAGAAGAAACTTGTGCGGTTTGTATGATCTCAAAAAGGAAAAGACAAATTAAATGTTCGTGGGTATCTAATGGTTAAAGAAAAAAATATTAGAAATAAATATTATTGGTGCTATGAATTTAGGAAGTCAAAAAAATGTAATGGCTATGCAACAACACTTTTAATTAAAAACTTGCATTATCTGCAAGATATGTCTGAACATAAACACTTGCCTAATGCTAGCCATGTAGAAGTAGTTAAAGCTATTATTAAAGTTAAAAAACGTGCCTCTCAAAGTAAAGAAAAGCTCGTACAACTAATTCAAAATTATATGGCTACCCTTTCAGAAGATGTTAAACCTTTTTTGCCATCACACAATGCTCTTCGTAAAACAGTTGTTCATTCCAGAAAAACCATACAATTACCACAACTGCAACATGCTTTGGACTTTAATCTTCCACCCACACTTTGTAATACTTTAAATGGCAATCGTTTTTTAATCAAAGATCACATAGATGGCCAAAGCAAAACTCTCATATTTTTTACTAATGAAAATATCAAGCATTTATCCAAAGCCCCCTATTGGATTATGGATGGTACTTTCAAAATGGTGCCAACTATTTTTTATCAACTTTACACCATCCATGCACCAGTTGGACCTGAAGAAAATTCTAGGATCTTTCCATTAGTATATGCCCTTATGACAAACAAATCTGAAGAATCTTATAGGTTAGTGTTGGGATTTAAATTTTTTACTATGTATAGCAATGCATAATACTATTTATAGTTTAGATGTTCAAATAATTTGAGTAATATCACTAAACCTTAATCTATATTAATTAAAAATTCTAACTCTAAATATAGGCGATTCTTCAATGACTTAATTACATTTGCTCAACAAATCAGTATTCAGTTAAATCTCAAATGAATAATTACCGACTTTGAAAGAGCAGCTATTAATGCATCCCATTGCGAATTTCCTAATGTAGTAAACAGGTGATGTTTTTTTCACCTATGCCAAAGTGGATGGCGTAAGGTTCAGAAGTCTGGTTTAGTTACTAAATATGAAAGTGATTTTTTTTTTAGCCATATGATTCGGCATTTATTTGCCCTAGCATTCCTGTTAGCAGACCAAATTCAAGATGCATTTGATACTCTAATAGTAAGTATGCCTCCAGAGGCAAGTGAAGTGACTCAATGGTTTGAAAAAACTTATATTGAGATATGCCAAGATGATACAATGGACTGCAACTTATCATTATTTCATCCACAACTATGATCAGTTTATGAATCAGTAGAACTGGGCATTTCACAGACGCAAAACTCTGTGGAAGCCTGGCACAATAGGTGGAATACTATAGTTGGAAGACCAAATGTAAGTGTATATATGTTGATAGAGGAATTACAAAAGGAACAGCAGAATGTTGACGATTAAGTTGTGCGCATTCTCCAAGAAGAGTTGAGACCCAGGCCAAATCAATATTATATTGAAAAGGAGAAAAGAATCATGGCTATTTTTAATGATCATAAAAATCGGCCAGTTATGGAATATTTGCATTGTATGGCAGATATTTTTTCTTCATATCTTTCTTTATAGTCAAATTTTTCTTTTATATATAGTCATATTATTATTCTTCTTCTTCTTAATGTTTCTTTATTTTTTATAATTTTTTTCCTATTATAAAGTCTTTTTTTCTTTTTGTTTTCATCTTCACTATAGGTAATAAATTTAATTTTAAAATATTGTGTATTGCAGCAAATTATTTTGTTTATTTATGAAAATTTTGATTATGTAAAATAAGTTAAATATGATTAATTGAATAAGGATTTCTACAAGTATAAGTTATGGTTAAATTATTTTAGTAGTATTTAGTTCATAAAAACTTTTTTAAATAGTTATATTTTACTTTGGTTATTTAGATAATGCGAATGTGGGCATAAAGCACGAAAAAAAAGATAACAAAAAAATTTTGGTTGAATTCAGAACCAAGAGTCAGGAATTTAATTCTAAAATATTAAATACGTACATACTGGCAGTAATAAAACTGTGGGCACTGACCAGTACTACTACCATGTGCTAAAAGTTCGAAGGATATACATAAGTATTTACAATACTAGGATATAAGGTTTGAAAATCATACAAAAAACTAGAATTTCACCTCTTTAAAATGATGGAATTATCCATTGTATTATTCCAAGAAATGTAGATGGATGTATTGAGTGCTAAAATAATGAAGAGTACTGGACAAAGGCAAAACCATTCATATTTGATGAATCTATAGGCAAGAAAATATTTTCCTAGTTAATTTCCAACAGGTGAATTACATTATGCTAAACGGATATTAGTAGAAAGAGTCCTATGAAGGGCAATATGTTAATGATGTAAATAGAATATATACCGAATTCCACATAAATATAATGAAGACTCATCATGCAATTCCATTATCAAAGCAATATATATCAAAAAAAATTCGATGGCATTATTATAGTAAATTGAACCTCATGAGATAAAACAAACCATTTAACTACTATTAACTTGTTATTTTTTTACAGTTTACTGTTACTATTTGAAGTGGTGATGATGATAACTCTTCACTATAAGGCTTGAAATCTAGTTGCAACATAAGCAATAGTTATCTACTATGTCATAGTGATAGCTGATTATTCACTAGGATAATGTGCTTATGGATCACATTATAATGCAGTATCTATTGTGAAAGATCAGTTATCATTTATCATGACTGTTAACTGGGTTTTATCTGACATGTCTTATATGAACACTGAATGATTTTTGTGTATCTTATTCGGCCACCTCCTAATACAATACACAAATTTTCATTACCTCTTAAGAGGTAAATGAAAATTTGTATATTTATATTAGGTTCGGTGTTCACATAAGACATGTCGAATAAGCATATTATTAGTCAAATTGTGGCTGATAATCGCTGATTTATTCATAGCAGATACCGCATTATGACGTGACCTTCAGCCATGTCATAAAAACAATATCCTAGTGAATAACAAGTACATCTAGGTCTAATGTAAGCACTGATTTTCATGTAACTTAGTCGTAATATAACGTGCAAATTTACACTCACCTATAAGAGATGAGTGTGAAATTTGTATTATATTAGGAGGTAGCAGGACAAATTACATCAAAATCATTGTTATATGTATATTTACCAGCACCTGGTACACTACTTCTACAACTGACATATGGGCTGCTATCAATAGAAATCAAGTAGATTGACATTTAAAAAAATCAATCTCTTAACTTTCATAGCCTATGTCTCAATGAATTTTGAGGTTATCTTGATGAATTAATATTCAAAAGATCTTATTCTTTCTTTTGAATATTAATCCGTCAAGATGGCTTCAAAATTCATTGAGATATAGGCTATGAAAGGTAAGGAATTAATTTTTTTTAAATGTTAATCTGCATGATTTATATTGACAGCAGTCCATATTCTTCAATGCAAGTACCCGATACAGAAAAAATTCTAATCTTTAAATAAATCATTTCTCTATATTCCAAGAATTAGGAGAATATGGAACTGCTGAAGTAGGGATAATACTAAATGATAATTTAAAAGTTGGAAATTTAACCATTAGCTCTTAATTTAATATTCAATCTTAATGTCAGAACAAGGTATAAAAAAATTTTTTTTTTGCATAGTTGCTTTGTCTTCATAAGTCATACAATGCTCATTTTCAGAATCAGTATGACTTTTAATAATTTATAAATTAGACATAGGGATGGTTTAACTGACTACCAGTTTTAGTGTTGTTGGCTAGTATATTATTATAGTTTTGTTAATCAGAGTATTAATCATCTATTTATTCAAATGGATTATATTTTTCACTTTTCATCTGGTAAGCTTTACAATTTGGTTAAGTAGTCAGAGTTGTGACCAAAGCCTTTTTAGTGGCTATCGATTAGGTTATCTTTGCCGGCTTATTAAGATTATATTGTCGCTAATCTGATGCGTTTAGTTCACACTTCTAGATGGATGAATGTGGGGGAACGTCAATAGAAACCAAGAAATTTATTTAATAAATTTGCTTGGTTTCTATTTACCCCCCATCATGTAATGCTTTTTTTATTATTTATTGATTATTTTATTTTTATTTATATTTTATTTTATTTTATTATTTTTATTTGTTATTTCATTTATTATTATTATTTTTATTTGTTATTTTATTATTTTTTTTAAATGGTTTAACATTGGGTTATTTTAAAGAAATAGTTGTTTGTTCTGTGCATTACAACAATCAAGGGATTCAATTCAGATTAATTATCTATATAAGTCCTCAAATAATGCTTCATTTTCATCTATCATTAGTATGTTAGCTTTATACTTTATAGCCTTATTCAAGATATATTTACATTTACAATATTTAAATCTATTGTTAGTTCTTTAGTTATGTCTAACGTTCAGTAAGTTTCTTTGATTTGCATAATAACAATTTAGATTCGACATCATTTGCCTGACAATATTTTTCTGATAACTACTTTTCTGACGTAGACATCTGACAATACTTCCCTGACTTGATCCACTTTCTGATAAAGGAAAAAGTTATTATACCAGAAAGTGGATTGTGTTGGGAAGCAGTCAGGAAATAATGTCAAAAAAGTGTTTTATGTTGGGGAAGTGGTTGTCAGAAAAATATTGTTAGGCAAAAAGCTGTCGGGCAAATAGTTGTCAGGCTAATAACATGGAACCAGCAATTTAGAATTATTTGCTTACTAGGGAAATATGCTTTAGGTAATCGTACCATGAATCGTGATTATAATAAATATAATGTTGATTCAAAAATTCAACTATTCAAGCTGTGATGACTTTAATTTCAATTAGAAAGTGTGAAAGGTTATTTTATTGTATTAAAAAAACTTGATGGTATAAAACTAGACAATGTGTAAAATAAAAAGTGTTTTGTCAATTTTCAATTTTCAATTTTAAGTTTCATTAAATAAATGATAATGATGTTAATGTATATTTGTGTTAGTTTTATATTATCAGTATCATAAAATAAATTTTAAGTTTGTAAGTTTTATTTTATTTAACTAATCTAACTGGCCATGTAAAAGGCTTGACCTGTTATAATCTGGCAAGGAATGTACATCCAAGATCAAAACTTAGTAGTATCAGGAACATGTAGTGTAGTCATAGAAGAACCTTTGTCTGCTTGGCTGATGTAAATCAATTGCCTGGGTAACTTATTATACTTTTTAGTTTCACTAACAAAAAATCACCATAAAAGCTATTTTTCACTTCGATAGAACATCTATATTCACTATGCAAAAATAATTAGTAATAATCAGTATCTCCACAAATTTTACTTAGAAGGCAAAATATATCTATCGTTTATTAGACCATATCAAATTATACTGTAGAGTGAAAGTAACCAGAAATGTTTTCGTCTAAAACTATTTTATTACATTGGATTTAAATAAGCTTTTATTTTTAACTGTTTAATTTGAATAGATACAAGCCCTTTAACAAGAAGGTCTGGCCTTAATATTTAAATTTGGTCGGTTCTTGCAATATGTTTGAGCATGTCAACTGTAAATTAATAGTTAAAGTTTTAATTTATATCATATATGATATATTATTTAATAGTTTGGGTTTATTAGTAATAAATATCTTATTTACCCACTTTATGCATATCTATATGTCAGGAACTTGGTGGTATTGAGAACTTGATTCTGAATGTCAGGATTTTACTAGTGTTGGGATTTTGGCTATATTGGAATTTTGCCAGGATTTTGGTTGTATCAGGATTTTAAATGTTGGGATTCTGAATGCTGAATTCTGAGTATCGAGATTCTGAGTTTCAGAATTTTGTGTATTGGGATTCAGTATATTGGGATTCTGTAGTTTAGGATTTTAATATTAGGATTCTGTGTTTTAGGATTCTGAATATATGAATTCTGAGTGTCGAGATTCCGAGTTTCGGGATTTTGTGTATCAGGATTCAGTATATCGAGATTCTGTAGTTTAGAGGTTTAGTATCAGAATTCCGTGTTTTGGGATTTTGAGTATTGGGATTCCGTGTGTCAGGATTCTGAGTGATGGATTTTGAGTATTGGAATTCTGTGTATCGGAGTTTTGAGTATCAGGATTCTGTATTTCAGGATTTTGATACTGCTGAGATTTTGTTAGTATCGAAATTTTGTATATCAGAATTTTGTATTATCGGGATTTTTGTAATATTGAGATTTTGGTAATTTTAGGATTTTGAGTGTCAGGATTTTGTATATCAGGATTTTAATATTGTCGGGATTTTAATTAGTCAGGATTTTGAGTATCGGTATTTTGTTGCTGAGATTTTGGATGTTGGGATTTTGGGTGTCAGGATTCTGATATACAACCTCTGGTATTGCTCTGGCCTAGGCCATCACTTGCAATTAAGACTAATCATTAAACTCTATACTTTTGTAAAGTTTACTAGGATCCCAATATCTTTCTTTTCCAACATTTTTTCCTTACTCTAAACCTACAAAATTTCTTAGACTACTAATTCAGATAGCCTGGTATAGTATCCTAAGATCCTTTTTCTTTAGTGATTTTTGATGACCTAGTTGGTATGTGTTTCTATATATATATTGTCATTTATTCTATTCTAGTTATTCTTTTTAAGGCTTCCAATAGTCTAATAGTACTGTTAAAAGTTTATACTACTTCTTTACTCAGAATTTTCAAGTGGATTTCTGTGCTCTAGTTTCTTAGAGTTATGTATCCAGTAGTTTTATTATAGATTTGTACTGAAGTCTTATGCAATACTGGTTATTTAACATTTCTCTATATATATATAATGTTACATTTTGCATAAATGCCTTGAGCTTTCATTTGAGATGGTGCATCTAAGATTACAGTTCTTCTTTTTCTGTTCAACTAATCGACAAGACACAGTTACCATAATACAGATATAATTATTCAAATTTTGCTATCTATAAGATTTAAATACTAGATCTGCTACTTGAAGGTTGACAAAAATATAATTTATTTATAATACATATATGTATAATATTTTAATAAAAATTTAATAAATAATTAACTAAATATATAAAATAAAATATCCAAATTTTTTATAATATGGAAAATACTATATTGATTCTATTTTAAAGATTTATATTATTTTGTTATAAATGTTTTAAAAGAATAGTCAAGTTACAAATGTAATTTACTCAAACTATAATAAGTTAAGTATTTCTCTAGTCTTAATTAAAGTTGTTCAGTATAATTAGAAATATTAGAATCTTTATTTTTATAAATATTAAATATAAATTTCTTAAATAATTATAATTTTTCTTATAAAAAAACATTTATTAACAGTTTTTAAAGAAAATATCTAATCATAATTAGCTATAAATTAATTATTAGTATTCTAATCTATTTTACACTAATAACAAAAGTTGTAAACCATGTTTTCATTTAATAGTATATAAATTTTCAGATTTTTTAAATTAATACTTAACAAGATATTAACATTTTTCTATTTTGGTTTATAGATAATTTTGTATTTTTGATAAAAACAATGATTATTTCATTTTATTATTTTTTATTTTGCTTCTAAACTTTATATTGTGTATTAATATTATTAATAGAGTAAGTGTATAAAATTTTTCTCTGAAAATTTGAGACTGTTTCATTAAGAATTTATAGAAATATACTATTTTTTCATTTAAAAACTATTGATAAATTTTTTTCTTTAAAGTTTACAGAAATATTTTTGTTAATTTGACTATTTCATTCAAAGAAAATATGCTGTATAATACTAATAAAGTTGGTGCAAATGATATTCAAGAATTTATGTATTATATTTTAAATCAAACAAATTAATTTTCATAAAATTAGATCAATTTTTGATAAATAATTTTTTTTTTTGTTTTTGCAGATCCTTGTTTTAAAATCATTATCAATACAAAAATCACATTTTATACAAAATTTTATTAAACTAAGTGATTTTGTATTATTAATAAAAAATATAGAAAGAGGATAGTGATTCTAGTGTAGTGGTTGGGTTGTCATCCTCCAAGTGGCAGGTCTAAGGTTCAAATCCTACCTATGACGAAATTTGGAAATTATATCTGTGTTATGATAACTGTCTCTTGTCAATTGGTTGGCCTCATGTAGCTGTTACCCAGGTATACTAGGTCAGGTCCCCCTAACTTTGAGAACTCAAAGCATCTATATGAAGTGTAATGTTACATATACATATAGAAATGTTAACTAGTGTTGCTTAAGACTTCAGTGCAAACCTACGATAAGACCACCAGGTGCAGAAGACTAAGGAACTGAGGTGACAGAAACCTACTTGAAAATTCTCGAGTAAAGAAGTAGCATGAACTTTTGATGGTACCATTGGACTAGTTGAAGCCTATAAAATACTTTCATAGAAACTGAAGATTAAAACCAGATAGCAAAATATATATAGAGAAGCATATAACCAACCAGGCTGCTGGGTTCACCAAAGGAAAAAGATACAGAAGTATACTATATTAGGCCATCTGAATTGGTAGTCTGGAATGAGACTGATGGTTCTGAGTTGCAGCTAGTAGGGGATGATAGAGAAGATGCCGAAAAAATAGGTACTGGAGTTTAGTGAACTTTACAA